ATGATTACCAGCACACCTCTAAGCCAAAACCATCAGCTCATAACATGAACAAAACATTTTAACCACTGAGGTTTGTTTCTCCACACCTTCTCTTCTATTCTCCCTGGCAACACTCCCACACTCTTTTTACTGCAACTCTTACTGACCCCCATTCACTGGCACTCTCTACTTTGTGTAGAGGAAGGTCGCAGAGGATTGTACAAATAAGACACAGAGAACAAACGCCACAGCCTCAGAGCTCAACTATGAGAGAATAAGCTGAGGAGAGAGCAGGCCATACAGAAAGCAGTGGCAAACCCCTCAAATTTGTCACAGAAACACATAGTGTCTATTAATCCAAGAGTTCAGAGATTCAGAAAAAAAAAGCAATCTTGAAAGTGACATTAGCACTTTTTATCCATCCAGTCACGAGACCTGTTGATGAAACCAGGGGTAAAAATTACAAGGTTCAGGGGCCTTTCGTTTGTAGCTCCTTCAAGGATTGCTCTAATTGCCTTGTGGTAGATGGAAATGTCTAATTAGCTTGTGCTAGTGTTTTAGTTTGAAGGACTGTGTGTGCTGTGCTGGTGAGTTTGTGTACTTTTAAATGTGTATGTAACATAATGTGATTTGAAAAATCCATAATTCTTTTATTTAGCATTTTTAAAAATGTATTATAATATAATATAATATTATATTATATTAAAGAAAGAGATGGTTCTTTAAAGAGCCTTTGACTGAATGGTTCTTTGTGGAACCAAAAATGGTTCTTCTATGGCATCGCTGTGAAGAACCTTTTAAGCACCTTTATTTTTAAGAGTGTAAATCCATAATGCATATTTTTAAATTTAATATATATTATATTCTGTTCTATTCTATTCTATTTTATTCTATTGAGGTGTAGAACCTTTAGTATTTCTTATTCATTTTGTCATACTTTTTCGGTATTAAATAAAATATGTATTTTTGTTTTGATTTGCCATAAAAAGTATCCTAGAACAAGATACATTGTGATACATTTACATGAGAAACAACATAAAATAAAAAAAATAAAAAAATTTAAAATATAGTTTTTTTTGGGGGGGGGGGCATAAAGTGAATGTACCTTCTTTGAGCGATATTTAGACTACATATTTTTGCAGAAACACGATTTTCCTTTCTTTTTTCTTTTTATTTTACAGTGTGACCGGCGGCTGTCATTTGCGTCTCTGCGAGGGGATTTTTCCTGCCTCAACTGTCCTCTATTTTCACAGCGCTAGTGAACCCGGTATATTCTGCGCTGACTAGACCCATTCAGCATTTATGTCTGTGTGTGTGTTAGAAGCGAACATTAAAAACTCCCTCACACATCCCACAATGCCTGAGAATGTTCTCTGGAGTCCTCACAGTCACGGAGTAACTCCTCTGTCTGCTGTGGAACCTCCTGAGGCCATAAACGCTCCAGTCACCGCGTGCATCTGCTTTGTCTGCCAGGACTTTCTCTCTGTTGTGGGAGCTTTTGCACAATACCTCTTGCCTGTGACATAACAGGGCAAAATGACAGCGTTTTAACACACCCTTCACTGAAACAAAAATGTGAGGAAGATTTGTTAGACGACAAAGCTGCAATTGTATCATTTTGTGGATCAACAACACTTTGAATTATAATATTTAGCTAAACTGGGTCATTTCTATGCAGCAGATTTTCATGTCCTTGTTTTACCCATTAAGTGTCTTAATGGATAAAATACTGAAATCATCTCTAAAGATTGAAATTATATTAGTTTTAATGTATAACCAATTTACAGTTAAATGAACTTGGGTGAGTTTTAAATCATTTTAGTTTGAGTGGATGCTGCATTTTTTCCAGCTTGTAACAAAATGGCAATTTATTAAGAGTTTTCTTTATTTTTTTTTCCCAAATCAAAATGTTTAATTTTTTTTTTCTTGGAAAAATTGTTTTACTGTAATTGCAAATCGATTTATGGATTTTCTTGATCATTTAAAATAAGGAAAATTTTACTAAATGTATCTTTTTTTTCTGTTTTCTAATCACAATATTTCAAACAAAACTTTTATTATTTTTTTTATTTTATTTTATTATTTATTTATTTTTGGGGGGAATATTGTTTTAAATTGGGAATTAGTGTATCAATGTATCAAAAGTCAGTGCCGTAATTACATTTTTCCTCCAAGAAATGTGATCATTATTGGTAGGATATACAGCAAAACATCACTGAGTATTCTAATTTTGTTGTTATTAGTTTGTCTTACTCAGAATCATTCCATAATGTTTGATAAAATTACATACATTGGTATCAGTACAACACATATATATATATATATAAATTATTTTTTTCTCACTAAATGGTACTGCATAACAGGAATGACCTAGATGTGTTCATGCCTTTTTATATCTGTTATGTTCTCTTAAAGATGCACAAACAGAAACACACACACTATAAAGAGTGTGAGAAGGGCCCGGTTACTCTTTGATAACCATCACATTCAATCTCCTCTCTTCACCATAATGAAACCGTGGCCATTTTGCCCTCTCTCAGTTGTGACGGAGTGATGGCTGTATGTTTTTTGACAGCGTTTTAAAAGGCGGCTTTTGTTGCAAATACAAATCCTGAACCATGTATTAGTAATAGACTTTTTCTAACACGTTCCCACAAGTGTTGTTTCTAATGGACAGAGTGAGCCGCGGAGCTTTAATCTCACATTCAACACAGATGCGGTTGTCATTGGAACAGACTCTTAAGTCAGCTCAAGCGAGCACTCACCAACTTAAAAGAGCCAGGTGTTCAAAATCATTCATTGTTGTCAAAGACGGTTTGAGGCTTTAGCTATCGGAAGAAGCCGTTCTCTGAGTTGAAGGCATTTGAAAGCTGAAATTTCTCTGTAAACTCTCTTTCCCCAGAATTCCCAGTCTACTTGCTATCTTTAAAAAACATTCTGCCTTTGTGTTTTCTCGACGCGGCTACAGACCTGACCATGATGTGGAATTTACTCATGGGTTATTTGTCAACATGTTCTACATGTGTAAACTAGAATGAGGTTTCCTTAATCCGAGTCCTAGAGCTTCTCAAAACTTTTTTTCCTGTCTATTCTGGAGACGCTTTACTACATTACATTTTCATATTTATTACATTTTCTGACATACTTCCATTTACATCTGTCTGAAATGGTGGAAAATGACAATTCTCATTCTGAACTGTCAATTTAAGAAAATCAAATTAAGAAGTCAAATTAAGAAAATTATTACTGATTGCTTTATAAAAGAGGTATTCTTGCAATACAGTTTGAGACACATTTATTTGTACTGCATATCTGAAAATAACAAAAGATGACCAAAGTGATTTTAAAGATAAATACAGATAAAATATTAAGTTCTTACCAGTAAAACAACACAACACACAACACACAAAAAACAAAGCAAAATAAAATAGCGTTTCACATTTATTATTTTACATACATACTGGCTTCCATTGTGAATATATTACTATTACTTTTCACATTGTAAAAGAGCTATGTTTCTGAATGTATCTGATTTGACTCTTAAAATGTACTTTTGTTAGTGTAACCTAATGAAGTCAGGTTGATTGGGTCATATTAATATTTTTGACCTAATAAAACCAGTTAATTTCGATGCGACCTCTTGAAATAAGAAAATGTTTCACTAAGACATTTTGTCAGGGAAAATACAATGAGCTTGACATTTGCTTTTAAATTCTCCATCCCACTTTTTACACTGTAAAAAGTTGAAAGTTTTTTTTATGTTATCTTAAAGAGCTATTTTTTGACTCTTGGAATCAGGTTGATATATTTGTCTTAATAAAACCAATTATTTTTGATGTTACCACTTGAAGGACATTTTTTCAGATACCTGACAGAACAGTGTACAAACGAAGGGACACATTCAAATAGATTAAATTAAATACTTATTACAGAATTGATTAAGCTTGATTATAGATTTAGCATTTTTAGGTGATCAATTTCTTTAAGGTGAATATTTGCCTTGTATATTAATTAAAAGCCCAGTTTGTGTCAATTTAAGGGATTCTGGCCCTTTATTGCTCAGCTTTTCGTGTGTTGTTGTTGTACAAGTATCCACGAAACAGCACTTTGCTGACCCAGGGTTGTGCCAACATGCAGCACACGCTCCAAAACCCTAGCAATGCCATTTATTTTCCTATAAAGATTATCACAGCCAATACTAAGGGCTGCCTGCATCCGCAGAGGGTTTGTGCAGAGTAAATGAAGGACTTTTGCTTCATTTGAATGTCATTTAGTGCTGAGATATGAAAGAGTGAATTTAACGTTTTATGACTTCCATTGAATAATAAATGAGAACATTAAGGAAGCATACTAATGATGAATATAATTGGCTTTGGGTTTTTACTTCAAGCACTTTTTGCAGATTCGTCCTCCACTGGTGCATGATGGGATAACTCATTTAGAGTGTCCAAACATTTTGCCCTTGAGAAAACAAAAGTCATTGGATTTTAGCAGCTGCTATCCGACCGCTAAAGTTCCTCAACACACCTGATCAGATTTAATATTTCACTCATTATCTATTCAACTTCTCGGTGGGGTCTTTGTTTTAATATTAATCGCTAATGTAAGATCAGAAAGCAATCCCAATCACTAGATCTAGTTAATAAATAATGATGATCTTTAATACTTAATCGCGGTCAGAATGGATAAATATCAAGATGGACAATGAGTAATTTGCAATGAAGTATTATCAGATCAATATGAATGTGTTTTGTCCCTCTTATTGAATTCTGTTTTTCTCCTTGTTTTCTGTTTGATCTTTATTTACCCCGTCTGTGGACATGCTGTTTGTTGATAAAGAGCTGTTACTCATTCTAAAGTAGAAATCTATATGCTTCACAGGATTTTATGTGACCTTCTTATGCTAAAACCTTTTTGTTTCATTTTTATTAACCTCACTACTTCTCTACCCCTGCAGGAATCTTAAAAGCATGGTCATGTTGATTTTAAGGGCATTTAATTTCTCTCCCTCTCTCTTTTAGTTGCAGGCCAGCGAGGAGAAAGTTAATAGCCAGGGCTTAGAAGTCAGCCCGCTCAAGTCCAAATTACAGGAAAAGACAGAACAATCTCAACAGCTGCAAGATCAAATTCTCAAGCAGCAGGAGGCTCTAAGTAGGGCAAGCCAAACTCTCAAAGACACCAGGAAAGCAGCTGGCAATAAGGTAAAAAGAGCGTCTCTCTCTTTCTCGCTAGCTTGCTCTCTTGTCCCTCCTTCCAAAAAAAGGGGAAAAAAGTGTCTCTGAACTTCTCTCCTCCCCTGTGATGCTGAATTCCCAGGATGTGTTGTTTAGAAGAATACAGAGTCTATTACACAAATTTTATAGTGTCTTATCTAAATTTCACCATTCAGAGACAGCTTGTATTTGTGTTGGCGTTCACTGAAACGCGTACGTTACCGTATTTTTGTAATCACAGAGGACTAACTTTGTGTAGAAAGAAAACAGCACGGCTGTGTCAAATCCAAACTGGCAAAGGATTCAGTATTTTAAGTGTTTTCTCAACAGAGCAAAGCTGTCTTCTCCTTTTTGCTTTAAATGAATATCAGATGAAGAAGGGTGGAAATGTCCAAGTGTGAAGCTTCAGATGGGTTAACCTAATTTTCCCTGAGACAAAGTAGATGTTTGGCGATACGCATTTAATTTCCTCCACTGCAAAAACAACTGGCCGTTTAACCTCCCGACCCCTGCGAATAAATATATGTATAGGCAAACATAAGTGTCTGGTGATGGGTTTCAATTAATCTCTGGGACTTTTATCTTCTTAGGCAAACCAAACAGACGTTAAGTTCTGCATGGGTCCCGTTACTGTTTCCACATCTGCTTCTGTTTCGCTGCGAAAACCTTCTCTCTGATCTCATATGTTGAACTACTGTAACTTTGCCACTGTTTCCTGTTGGAAAAAGGGGAGAGGAGGAGGAAAAATGCGTTGAACAATAATATCTTTTGTTCCAGAGAAGTTCCTCCGTTAGCGCAGCTGAACAAATAGCCTTAATAGTTTGGTTTGAAAGAACTCCTCCCATCGCCGGTGTCTGATATTTATGCTTTCAGCGGCGCTGGACCAAGCCCTTCGTTTTCATTTCTCTGGATTTGTTTGAACAGATCATCCCTTCCACACAGAGGAACGAGGTACACAGAGGAGTTTGTTTCTTCCCCCCCTTCCGAATGCTACTAAATTAATAAGACGTCAAAGACAACACAACCCAGTGTTTTACTTGCTCGACCCTGGCCTCCATTAGTGAGGAGACATGAGGAAAGATAATTTGTCCCTCTGAAGTTAGTGCACATCAGAGGAGAGAGACAATAACAAAGGCCTCTGCGGCGGGGGCCATGATGCATTCCATTCCTCCTCACATTACCCATCAGCCCCTGCTGCCGACTGGCCCGAGTGACTTACGTGTACTCTTTGATGACGCATTTTATGTGATAATTTACAGAGTAAATATAGCAAAGTTTGTAATATTTTTGCTTAAAATGGGAACGCAACAATAAATTTTGCAATGGTCTACAATGTAATAGTATACAGAAATTTTGCCTGCTGTAATTTACATCCATATTCCAAACCTGGAAATGTGAAAAGGGTCCATTAGGGTTTTGTTTTGTTTTTTTGTTTTGTTTTGTTTTGTTTTGTTTTGTTTTGTTTTGTTTTGTTTTGTTTTGTTTTGTTTTGTTTTGTTTTGTTTTGTTTTGTTTTGTTTTGTTTTGTTTTGTTTTGTTTTGTTTTGTTTTGTTTTGTTTTGTTTTGTTTTGTTTTGTTTTGTTTTGTTTTGTTTTGTTTTGTTTTGTTTTGTTTTGTTTTGTTTTGTTTTGTTTTGTTTTGTTTTGTTTTGTTTTGTTTTGTTTTTTGTTTTGTTTTGTTTTGTTTTGTTTTTTGTTTTGTTTTGTTTTGTTTTGTTTTTTGTTTTGTTTTGTTTTGTTTTGTTTTTTGTTTTGTTTTGTTTTGTTTTGTATAAATATATGTATATGTTATAATTATAAATACTATGACTACTTTGGAGATTCAAATACTTTCAAAATTGGTTTCTTCTTAAACATTGTTAACATTCTTGAGAAATTATTTTTGTTATATTTTTCAACAGTATACTGATATTAAAATGTTTAATAGTTGTGATGCACATTTTCCTTTCATCTTTGCTTTTAATAAAAAAAACTACTTTTATTACAGATTTCGTCAGTAATTTAAGCGGACGAAATTGTCCCTGGCCGTCAGAATGACTTTGCAGTTCTCCTCAAACGTCAGACCCAACTCTCCTCGTAGAAGAACTTGTCAAATCTTTCAGTTCACAAAGTCTTAATAAACCCGCTTCTCCATAAATATTGGATGTGAGTGTCACTCACTCTGTTTGTTTATTTGCTTGTTTGTTGGTTGGATATATTACACTTATTCCCAGATCTCCCTCTGTTCTCTGTATAGGATGTCTAAACGTCAGATGGGATTCTCTTTTTGTCAGTATTTGAAGCCGTGGAGTGTGTGTAAGGAGGGGCCTTGGAGATACGAGCTGTAGTGATTGATTTAAAAATACCTCCTCCTCCTTGATTTCAGGGGCTTCCTGTCCATAATGCACGTCTTTTAACATAAAGTTCTCGTCTAAAAGTTGTGAGTGATTGACCCAGTTGGTGGTGGGTTGTGCTACGTGCTAGCTGCTTGTGGCATGTTTCGCTTTGCTAAATAATCAACAAATGCTTGCGGCTGTCACAAAGTGGCAGCAGCGTAACTTATCAAGAGTGTAGTTTATAGTCGTATTTTGCATTATTTTTGTAATACTTCTTATGCGTCTCATCTAATGCACCGTAATGCGATTCCATATATCGTTGACCTTTATATTGGGGTCAGCTTACTACTTCTAAGATGCACTTCTATTTTATTACTTTTGCTCTGTAGCAAAGAACATTTGTTCTACTCTGCAGAAAATTCAGTTTAGTCTTAAAATTATTTATCTGATGGTCTAAATGAGCTTCTGTAGTTTGACATTTAATTTGAGTTTGGAATATCACAAAGGTACAATGAAAACAAAGTGTATAATAACAACAAATACGGCATTGTTTTGCTACCTCCGTTTCTGCATTTCTAATGTGCTATAAAAGCTGATTTGCTTTTAATGTTTCATGAGAAGGTTACATCCTTCTTTTAGGAGCGATGCATTCACACTTTGCTTTTAGTCTTCGTTTTTCTTTTTCTTTTTTCTCTCCCGGTGCTTTCAGATGCGGTTAATGTCAGTCGCTGTGCACTGGAGCACATCAGATGTCAGGCCTATGCAATTGTGCTACAATGTGCCTGTTAAATGTGCTTTGGAAGGGTGTAACGCAATATATTATGCATGCATGAAATGTACAAACACAATGAAATTATGCACTACAGATATGATACAGTTCTCTCAAGTCTTGCGGAGGCACTCTGTGATACATTTTAAATGCAATTTTTTTGTGGCCACCGGCAAAATGATGCTGCTGTCTAATGGTGCATTCATGGACATTGAAGAACTCACTTACACGTACACACATGCACTCACGCTCACACACTCATTCTGTTGTGCATGCTTCAGATGACCTGTGAGCTTTTTGAATACCTAGAATTATTTATCATTTTGTATTAAACTCAGTATTTGAGTGTTTGTGGTCTTTTTATGTTATGATTTTTATTAATAACAGATTTCATCTTTTTTTTTCTCTCCTTTGTCATATGAAGGTCACATTGACATTTTTTGCTTTTATGATTTTATGCCTTCATAAACTTTTTTTGGACTTTTTAAAGGCCTTTTATGTTAAATGTAATTGTTTTAATCGCATACCAGAACCAGTCATTATAAAAATATGAATTATTAAATTTTTTAAAACAAAACCTGAACTAATCATAAACCATTTAAATGTTTAGTGTGCAAAAATCATTTACCAATTATTGCACAAATAACCATGCTCAGTTGTGGATTTCATTGTCATAACAACAAAAATTCTGCCTTTATTTATTTGTTTGTTTTATTTTCTTTTTTTTAATTTTATTTACCAAGGTGCCAAAAGTGTCAGTTAAATATAATAAAATGTGATGTATGAGGACAACAACGAAAAATTTCACAATCAAGTAAATATCACTTGTCAGCAGAATGTTTATTGTGCTTCAATTTCAGTCAAGCTGTAATTTTGTCCGGTTTTTATTTATTTTTATTTTTTTTACATTTTTATTTATTTGTGAGTATATAGGATGAATTAAATGCCAAGTGGGAAATTAACCTTCACACGACAAAGTAGACTGTCATTTAAAATTTAAAATGTCATTTTTAAACAATATCACGGAATGTTTAGTACAGTACATAATTTGAGATGATGTAAATGATTTTTCTTTTTTGGAAATAAATGACAAATTCAAAAAAAAAAAAAAAAAATATTACAGAATTCTCATGAGATGTATGGATATCCATTGTTAGTGGACAAATAGTGGAAGTAAAATTGAAAAATGTATTTTAAAGGAGTTTATTTGCTAAAACTGCCCAAACTTATACTTTTTTTCTAGTGTACAAACTTGTACTTTTTCTAGTGTATTTTAGTTTCACTCGAGGTTGCTGTTTTGAGTGTATTTAGAGGTCTTGAACTCCAACCAGACCTTTTCTTCATGTAAAATATCAGCTTGGCTCTGAGCCGGAGTGTTTGTCCTTGCTCTGAGCTACAATGCCTTTGCTACTTAGTTTCAGAGTGGAAGGCATCAGCCACAGACAGATGGCCAATACAAAATTGTTTAAGCTCTGTTTCGATTGATCCTGACTATGTTTGCATAGGCCACAAAAGCAATTATGCTCTGAATATAGCTTTGAAAGGACAGCCAAAAGCAAACAGAAATGCAGGAATTAGTGCAAATTGGAGACATTGGCGAGTAGTATTGGATGACAGGTTAGCCCTTAATGAAGGGGAAACTGCGGTAATTAAATCTCAGGCTGTATTTGTGTGGCTCTGCGCTGTCCAGCCGCTGGAAAGGCATGCGGGAAAAAGTGGTGAAAAAACGTTTCGCTCTAAAGTTGCTCCGATGCTCCGTCATTTGAGACTGTTCTTCATGAGTGCAGGGTGAAGGTCAAGGAGCTATCTTAACTCCATCAATCCTGCGGACAGTTACAAACGACCTTTCACATCCCATAAGTTGCTCTATATGCCGAATTGGGGGCGATACATATTTCTGTGTTTAGGGGACGGGCTGCGTAAGAGAAGTGTTCTTGCGGGGAGCAATGAGCGTGGTGGCGAGATCGGTTCATTCACCCCCACATGATGATTGAAACTAATATCTCATTTAAAGAAACAGACTGGTGTTACAAAGGCTGAGATTGAAGATGTTGTTGAAAGCACAGATGGACTCTCAGAATATAAAGAGACTTATTAGGCCATGCAATCGAACACAAAGACAAAAGCAAGAGAGAATACATTAAAAATGCAGCGTATTTGTAGTGCAGTGTTGTCTTTGTCAAGCTGTTATTGCTAATATTATGTTGAAATAATAGGTTTAGAAAAATAGTGGAATGCTACAAAACAAGCGAATGAGAGAAAGAACATAAATCAAAAAATCAAAGGTTGAAACTTAAATGAAAATTAACATTGTGGTTGTCTGTGATTTGTTATTTACAGATTTACTAGAGGCAAAAAAAAAAAAAACTGTAGCTGCCTCAAAGGAATTACAGAAGACTACTGGAAAAAAAGGAGGCAAGTCTTTGAACAATTCTATTTGTTTGTTTAGAGATGTAGATATAGATATCACACACACAAAAAAAATCAAAATAAAATAAAGCCTCCAGTCTGACAGCATCCTTTTGTGTTTCACGCCACATTGTCTGTAATTGTAATAAGATGTTTTGGGAGTGTTTCACATACGTTTGCTTCATTTCTGTACTGTGTTCAGTGGCATCAGCAAGTGGAGAGACAGACATGGTGGAACCACAGGCAGAGGGTGAACCAGCTGCAGGGTAAAGCTATGAAGTCTACGAGGTTTGGAGTGTCTCACTTTATACCCTATAGAGATTATTATATATATATTTTTCTTTAAAAACACTTTTAAAATAGATTTCCTGCCACTTGGAGCCATATATTCCGAACAAAAGATTTTCAAGGTACTGGGCATACTACCTGTACAATGTTCACAGCCCATAGCATACAAAACACTCTATTTTATTTTATTTTATTTTATTATTTTATTTTATTTTATTTATTTTATTTTATTTTATTTTATTTTATTTTATTT